CTAACCCAATTTTTATCCATATCTCCCTTATTAAGGCCTGTTACCTACTAAATTTCTATCTTTCTGATTTTTAACATTTATCTTTTCAGGTGTTTATTCACTGCTTGTTTGTTTTGAGAAATTTATGACTTTGCCAGGCTAATATGCCATTTCATCCTTTTGTTGCTTCCTAGCATAAAAGCCAAGTTCCTTAGTGTGTGTAACATTTTCCACTCTCTGTGTCTGTGGCCTTGCCTCCCTGTGTTGATTAGCTCTCTAAATTCTCTAGGAATTCAAAACCACTGTTTCATTGTGTCTCTATGCATTTGCTTATGCTATTTCTTCTGCAGAATTCTGTTCTCATTCTTTTTATTTTTATGTGTATGAGTGTAATGCCTATATGTACGTAGGTGCACCTGTGTCATGCAATGCCCATGGAAGTCAGAAGAGGGTGTTGGATCCCCTGGAACTGGAGTTACAGATGGTTGTTAGGCCCCGTGTGGGTGCTGGGAATTGAACTCCAGTCCTCTGCAAGAGCAGTCAGTGCTCTTAACTGCTGAGTCATCTCTCTAGCCCTGTTCTCATTCTTGATGACAGTAATATTTATTAAGTGTTAGTTCAAGACATTTCTAGAAAATTTTCCCTCACTCTTCTTAGGCTGAATCAAAATTTGCTCATCCATATTCTTATCAGCATTCTGTAGACTTGTCTCATTGTATAGACTTTAGGCCCCCGAAGAACCAGAGGCTATCATTTAATCTGCAGCACCTGACGGGGTTCCCAACTCAAATATAATTTGATGTACACTGATAGGTGTTGTTGTATGTAAAACTCAAGAGACATTAATCTATAAGATGCTACAAATAAGGATTTGAAGTTCAGGAGAAAGATCTGGACTAAAGATGTTGGTAATAGCTGAAGTCATTTAAGACAAAAGGAGCTAATGTTTGCCAGGTTTTAATTTACAAGGGCCATAGGGCTAGGTATTTGTGCATTTATTTACAAATTTACAAGGTAGCTATTATGCTTTATAAATGAAGATGTAGACTCAGAAAGATTAAGCAACCAGATCAAGGTTCAAAGCTAATAAACACTGAAGCTGGGATTTGAGTCAAGGTCTGTCTAATTTCAAGGCCCAAATTCTTGTCATTACACAACACTGGAGAAACTCACATAGGAGAATAGAGGGAGGTGATCAGTGAAGTGGAAAAAGGGCAGAAGAGACAAGGACAGAAAACAGATTCATAGGTCTGCTTAGGAAGAACCCTAAAAGGGACAGAGAGAGGAAGGCACAGCACTAGGGACTGTTGTGCTGAGAAAGATTCCAGGAAGAACTATGGCCATTTCAAGTGATGCACAAAAACTAAGTAATACAAGAACTAAACCTGTCTTCTGAGTTTCAGTCTGGTCGTTGGTAACACTGGAAATGGAAGAAGTGAGGAGGACATACATTACAAAAATTGGGGGTATGAATAAACAGAAGGTAGGAATGTGACAACAACTGAGCAGGCTACTCCACCAAGAATCTTTAACTGTAAAGGGGACATAAGCAACATGAAAAACTAAAGCAAAAACAGAGGCTTAGAAAGTCCCTTCATTCTTTAAATGTTTAAAAATGTCTTATTTACTATTTTTGTTTATATGTATGAATGTATTGTCTGCATGTGTCATGCAATGCCCAAGGAGGTTAGAAGAGGGCATTGGATCCCCTGGAACATGAGTTACAGTCAGTTGTTAGCTGCCATGTGAATGCTGGAATATGAGCCCAGGTCCTCTGCAAGAACAGCCAGTGCTCTTCATCACTGGGCTCTCTCTCCAGACCCTCATTCTTTAAATTTTTAATTGATGTCATGGACATGGGAATACTGAAAATTCAATAGGGAAGGAAAATTCAAATACATATGAGTGGATAACTTAATGAAGCAATTTTTAAAACTTATTTTTTTAAGACAGAGTGTCTCTGTAGGCAAAGCTGGTCTGGAACTGTGTAGACCAGGCTGGCCTCCATCACACAGAGATCCAGCTTGCCTTTGCCTCCAGAGTGCTGGGATTAAAGGTGTACCCCACCATGTCCAGCAAAGCAATGTTTTGAAAGACATGGAAGAAGGGATTCCAAAGATTTGATAGGGGTTCCCCAAATGAGATGTCATGTTTGTAGCTGGAAATGGGAGGGAGCCAAAACTGTAGTTCTTATTTGTGAAGTGGAAAGAAAACACCTGAAATTGTACATATGCACACTAAAACTCATTTTGGTATCAAATAGGCTCTTCATATTCATCTGTTTTCTGACAAGTGGATTAATAAACAGTCTCCTACTTACCTTTGCTTTAAATCTCAGTGCTGTGACTCTCACTTCCTAATATTTAATCAATCACTAAGTGTTAGGATAATTTAAAGAAAGGAAGGAGCCCTGAGGGTATCCAACTTAGTTATTTCCCACCAAAGTTACCCAAGATTGTTACCTTTCAAGTCCTGGTCAGAAGGGGTCAATGACAAAACTTCTAAAAGCAAACAGTGATCAGACTGAAGTGTGTTATGTTCTGTGTCATATACCACCTGGTATACACAGTAAGCACTCAAAAAAATAGTTGGAACTCCATAGAACCTTGTAATCACTGTGGTTCAATCTCACTTTACAAAAGAATCTGAGGCCTAGAAATTAGAAGTCCCTTCTGAAATCCAAAATCCACTTATTGGGGGTGCCAGGACAAGGAAGGAAGAGTTCCAAAGCAAGAGGACCTAGGGGGCAGGACGCACCAAGTTCCTAGGCTGTTCAGAGTCAGGGAGTCTGTCTTCACAGTAAGAGCTTTCCCTTTGATTCACAGTATTCCTAGTCTACCTTGGTCTTTTATCGTTGTATAACAGCTTGTTCCTGTCTTCAAGTCTACCCAGCATTCCAAAGCCAGATCAATACTTAACCAAACACTGTTTCTGAACTCACTCCTTTATGGACCGCCCCCTACAAGATAAAGTGCAAAGGGTGAACATTCTTAACCCTCCAGTCCCGCCCTACCCAGTTTTCCAGCCTTATCTCCCCATCTAGTCTGTACCACTTGGCCAGGCTCCTCTCCCCACTATCGTCCACGCTTTTCACAGGTTAAGTACTGTCTCTCTGGGCTGGTGGCTCTCTGGTGGTCAGAGGGAGCATTTAGGACTCTGAGCTCTGGTTAAGGTTCTGTGACCCCTCTTGTCATCTGTAATCCCTAACAAAGGCCTCGGCATCTTCCGGCATTTGGCTCCGCAAACTACGCCGCTTGGGGCAGGGTCACTGTCCTCCACCCTTACTCCAGCGTCGGACACACTAGTTATCCAGCGGGCACAGGTTAAAAATCACCCCAAAACAGCACGCGGGCCAGACTGCTAAGCAGTAACGAAATAACCCCTGGGGCTGAAGAAACAGAGAAACTGCTTTCCCGCCAGGAGCTCAAAACCCAGCCTCCACCCCCTACGCCGCCTCACACCGGTTCCAGCTGGATTTCTCCAGGCAGCTCAAAAGCCAAATAGAATTCCAGTCGTTTCCCAAGCCCCAGCCAATCCCCACAGCCGGTCGGGGCTCCCCCAAACCGTAGCGAGCTCTGATTGGCTGACAGAGTGGGCCTGGGACGGGTGAAGAGCTGCTTCCGAGGAGGGGTGGAGAGGGAGGCGGGGCCTAGCGGCCACTGCACATGCGTGGTAGGAAACGGATAAACAAACAAACAAAACCCACCATCCCGGGGGCCGCCCCCGGTCCCCGCCCACCTGTCCTTGGCGCGAGGCTCCCCGCCCGCGTCAACGTCTGGGCACGTCCCCCTCGCGGCAAGGGCCACGCACGTCCCCGCGCTTAACCTCTGCCCGCCCGGCGCGCAGTTAAAGACCCGGGCGCGCGCGGTGCGGGCGGCGGGGAGCGAGCCAGCAGCCCGGCGCGCACCATGACCTGCTACCGGGGCTTCCTGCTGGGCAGCTGTCGGCGGGTGGCGGGCAGCCGGGCGGCGCTGCGGGCGGCGGGGTCGGGCGTGGACTGCGGCTGGCGGCCCCTGGGGCACGGGCAGCCGCGAGAGCTGGCGGGCTGTGGCAGTCGCCCCGATGGCGGCTTCCGCCCTTCGCGCGTGGTGGTGGTGGCTAAGACCACCCGCTACGAGTTCGAGCAGCAGCGGTACCGCTACGCGGAGCTCTCGGAGGAGGACCTGAAGCAGCTGGTGGGTGGTGGCTGCGTGTCCCCGGGACGCGTCACCCTGATGCCTGTGGTCTGCGGCCTGGAGAGGGGCGCGTGCTCCGGGGACTCGCGCATCCACGTGTGCCCTGGCCTCTGGCCGTGAGGGAGCACACCCTGGCTGTAGAGACCGTGAGCGGCGGCCCGAGGGTTGGGGGCCTTGGCAACCTCCCTCTCCCGCCCGCCCCGAGGTGCCCGAGCACTGAGTTCGACGACGGAGCAGAGGGCCGGGACGCCGCGGACACACCCCCTTGGGCTTTCAGGGACTGCGAGGCCTGGCCGCGTTGGGCAGCCCCGCAGAGCCAGCATTTCTCTAGCGGGAATGTGGTCCTTAGCTTTAAAAGTGCCTGCAAGAACAAGGGAAGAAAGTTATGTGTTATTGTATGGAAAGGTCAGATAAAGGGACAAGTAAGCGGAGTAATGTGCAAACTAAAGAGCCTGTGCGTCTAATGGAGCCATGCCTCCGCGACTGACGATTTGGTGTGTTTATTCCTACCTTTGCTGAGTGTATAAAGCCTAGTGTATGTGGGCAGAGATGAACCTTGAGTTTGATCTCCTGTTTTTGAAAATTTAAATTTCGTGTCCCTTTCCACTAACTTTAGGAAATAGACCGCCAACAATATATCTCGAAGTCTCCATTGAATGTCTGGATTCGTTGACTCTGGGCACCCAAAGGCTTTATTATAACCATTACTAATTTAATTGTGTGCAAGAGTAGGCTGCCTGTCTTCAAAACCTGGTAATTGTAATTTCAGCACATTTTCTAGAGACGTGAAAAATAAATTTTGAATCTTCGCTTAGGTATTTGAATATTGTTTGATGGAATAATTGTAGATCCTGAGTTCACCTGGTAGAAAATTTATTTTCTACCACTTGAAGCATTTAGAGAGAATCGTTTGAAAAGTTGAGTTTGAGTAATTGAGTGAAATGTAGTGAAGTAGGGAATGGTAAGTTCAGATGAAAGTACATTGCTTCTATTTTGGGAAAGAGATGTACCCTTTTGGTTACACTCCCAAATTTAGAAATTGTGAAATACAGTATATGCTTAAACAGCTTAGAAAAACAGGGCCAGGCATGGTTTTGCTTGCCTTTAATACCAGCACTTGGGAGGCAGAGGCAGGGGAATCTCTGATCTCGCTGAGGTCAAGGCCAATCTGGTCTACATAGCCAGTTCCAGGCCAACTGGGGCTACAGAGAGACACGGGGGTCGCGGGGGGGGGGGGGGGCGGGACGGGAGCGGTGGGGGAACTGGGTGGGCGGGTTTTTTTTTTTTTTTCGGAACAAAAGGGGGGG